CATGAACATCGTGAATAAAGCACCAACCGGCACCCCACACACACACACTCTTCGAGTTGTGTATAGCGAACATGACAAAACATACATACAGCATACTCAATACCTTACCCTTCCCGAACCGCATAAACAAACGAACTACGGGCTGTGCACCCGTGCCCTCACGGTAAGTCAGTAGGAAACCGCCAAAGGGTGTTTCCCGAAAAGGCAAGTTGGGCAGGTGCTGTGGACCATGGCCTGGTACCGCACTGCTCTTGAGAATACCGTGCGACACCACAGGAAAATACGAATGTCCGCCACGGCCTCTGGGTGCACACAACGGTCCACGGCGAGGGTGCTTGGTCCACGCCGTGAAGCACGCATCTGGAAACTGATGGACATGCCCCCCCCCTGCTCAACTGGCCGCCTCCTTGGAAAGGGTCTGGAAACCGGTCGGCATCGAATTTCCAGACTGCAGACAACGTAGAAACGCCCCGTCACCATTTCGGCAACCTCTTTCCAAGCACAGTGGGGCCTGGAATTCCTTTCCGGTCCGGCTTTCCACACCGGTTTCCAGACCCAGTGGGGTCTGGAAAACACCCCGGCGCCCAAACTTTTCCAGGCCGCCGGCCAGTGGGGTCCACACCTTAGGTAGTGCTTCCTAAAGTCGTGCAGGTAAACAAGCCCCAACGACTTTAGGAAACGTACGGCCCGCTACAACTCATCCGACTAGAAATGTTTCTACTCTATTTTTTCCCGCGGCCGATAGCTGGGTCAAGTATCCCTCAGCAGCGTTGAGTTTCCTCAACGCCTCAACTGCTGAACTGGGTCGACTATCGCCTACAGCGTCGACTTTCCTCAACCGCACATCTCCACAAGCACGTCCAGATTCGGGTGTTGAAGAAACTCAACACTCCTACGTGGGACTTCGGCCCCAGACCGGCGCAGGTTGTGAGCACTTCGCGACTGCGCCCCCTTCCCGGCGGCTGCCACCTGGCGGGTCCAGGGGTACTTATAGGGCTGTGTTTCGGGGACAGCTGAGGGGTAGTCATTTTTTGTATCTGCTTATTGTTGACGAACGCGCGCGTGGGCGTGCACACACTGGCTCCCCATAGACACAGATGACAGGGTTATTGATCGCGAAGGCTGATCTTCCTTTTGCCGATGAGTTGGCAAAGCCGATCTGCAGTGTAAATGGACAGCGGTCACCGTCTTGTTGTACTCTTGAGTCAGAGGCGGTGATTACTCGCTCAGACACGCACAGACACTTACACACCCTCAA